TAAAACATAACCCAATTTCTATTCATGTAACAACCTTTACCATCAGCTTTATTTTCTATCATTTCATATGTATTCATAATCCATTGAGTAGAAACTCTTACATAAACAGAAATTTACTATACTCTTATAAGTCACGTATAATTCTTTACGTCGGCGTGTTCAGATGATAAGTTAATTATACTTGAAGTTGAATCGAATCTCTTTAACAGTAACGCGTCCTTCTGCACAAGGTTCAACTACCAACCAGTGTAAGTCATCGTTCACGGCCATTCTATGTTTCGGCCACTCGATCGACCCCTGACTATCAGGCAGCGCGCCAGCGATTGGATCTATAAGGTCAGTCTTAACGGTAAAAACGCTCCCCCGTCTGGTCAATGCGGAGCCCTCTGTGACGGCGGTCTTTGCCAAATGGGTCAGCCATGCCGTACCGTGCCGTGCCGTGGAGAAATCCGACGTTCGCGCCATTCGGGGAGCCATAAAAGTCTGGACACGGCCTAGTATCGCCGATCCGTACCGCTAAACGAATTATCTCGGATTTAGAGCCGGGCAGCCTTGAAAAAGTGCGACGGTCACGGAATCGATCTTTCCCATTCCCCTCTGCACCTTATCTCTCGCCAAGCTTTCCTCTTCAACTTTCCCTGCGACGTTTCCTTCTACCCCTTCCCATTTTTTTTTTTTCCTTCATACCCGATGGAAAGCTGTACTTAGGAGAATGAGAGAATAATCAGAGTGAAGACGGTTGACCTTGAATCTTTCCTTCTTTAAAATATTGTTAAATCATCTCGCGTCGAGGAAAATTCTCACTCCTCTCTTTATACTTCGAAGAAAATAAATCGCGTCGCATAGAAATTCAGAATCAGTCGAAATGTATATAGTATGAAAAAATGTTAGTAGTTCTATTAAAATTCAAGGCATTGCAAATCGTTAAACAAATCATACGAATAATAAATTTTATGTAAATTCAGTGAAATTACGTAGTTCGATTTGGGAGTGGAGAGAGTAGAAACATTTCACCTTCGCCTCTCTCTCTCTTTCTCTATCTCTCTCTCGACGGGCGGCTGCAATTTATCCACTAATTGCCGTGCAACCTCCTGGCGCGCTAGCGATTTGATTAATGAAAAATTGCGAGCCGTCGACGACAAATGTTTCCCGTAGAGCTCGGACTGGCCCGCTTTATTACCGGTTCAATAAATCGACTTCAATTAATGCGCTCGATCCGAATCCTGCCGTTGAAATTGCCAAATGACTTTTCCGTCACGGAGGACCGAACGTTAACTAGATTCGAGGATTTTCCATAGGGAATTAGAAGAGCTTAGTTGTGATTAATGTATCGAACAAGAAGTATTTCTATACTCGTGTTCCCGAGAGTCTAGGACCGGGCAAAGTTCAGTTTTTGATCGTTCTGAGCATCTCAATGCTTTACTGTGTATACTGAACCGTGTGGACGGCGTTCGCTGCGACCCTCACTACCTTCCAAACTGAAACGCTCCTAGACTCTCGGGACCACGAGTATACTAGTACCTTATTCCGGGCGCTCGTAACACAAAAAATGGAACAACTTTTTACAGTCTGCCATTGATAGGGGAAGTATTTACAGCCACAAGCTGTAGATAGATGTACTTAAAAATCTTCGTTACGTGTTAATGCATACTTAAACATTAACTTTAGTTAGCAAAAAGAACGTAGTTTCTTGAAACAACTTTCAAACAGTCTGTCTTGTGAAATTTCGTCAACTTTACGCTAACATTAGCCTAAATTCAGCTTGGCAGATTGAAAAAATTGTTCTTAGACGATTGTTCTTATACGATTTAATTGCTAACTAACATAAGTACG